TGGAAAGATTTAAAAGTAACAGATTTCTAAAAACTATTGATATGGTTTCTTTATGTATGTATGAATTTCATTTAAGTTTACTAATAAGATACAAATTACAAATATCAGCAGGGCTAGTTTCGATTGGGCCGCTCTGAAGATTAATGGGTACAAAGAACAAACAGAAAAAATGGTGTTATTTGGACTTTGGGTATAGAACAAAAAGCAATGTCAAAATGCATTCTAGATTAGTACAATTATTTCATAATAACACTAATATTGTTATTGTGCTATTTGTAAGTCAGTTTGTTACATCTTTAACGCTGTTACGACTCAACAAAGAGATTTGAGGAATCAGAATGAAGAGAAAAAGTTGTATCACGGAGTTTATTTTTATAGCCATGTCTACCATACGAGCGGAGCTGTAGTCAAGAACTAGTTATTCATAAAAATAAGATAGTATACTATTTGTTATGAAATTGCTTGAATTAATTAATTTTAATAATAAAAAGATTGTTTAAATCTGCGAACGATAATATTTTAACTTAGTTATTAGTTTAGGTTTAGCTTCATTCTGGTAAATATGTAGATGTATATGCAAAAAGGCTTATCCTTAAAAATTGACTGCTTTGCCAAGTGTGATATAATAACATAACTGACGATTATATTAGTTCTAGATATTTAAAAAAAAGTTAAGTTCAATACTTATACTGCACAGTAGTAACTTAAAATTACTTAAAGGTAGCCACTAAAGAAATATCAAAATTTCTAAGGTAGGTAAGTATATCTTGGCGACTGTCTCATTACAGGCTCGAGTGGCCAAAGCGACCGACCACAGTGTAAGCACTCATCGAAAAAACACCCCGAGACGTAACATAATATTTCCCAAGCAGCCTTTTATTTATTAGACGAGCACTGAACACAGGCGCAGGCCGGCGCCGCGACAACTCTACTTCCAAGAAATGAACTCCAACGTGTCGGCTTGTAGCCGTTACATTTCGAAAAAAATAATATTTATGTCGACGAAAATATCGGGATACGATCCGTATTTATCTGTATGTAAAAACCTTGAACTAAGAGTTTTTATTCGAAAAGTGATTTGCAGAAATCCACGCCTACTCAGTTAAACGCTGGCAGGCATCAGTTTCAGTATGTGATGGTCGCCTTTCATTTATTAGCTCAAAACTATAAGAACACGATTATAATAGATACGTACACGGTTCGATTATTTTGAAATAAGACCACGGCTGGTTTTACAGTACAAGTCCATTAAACGTTCTACCGACGCAGTTAGTTCGCTATTTCGAGATCACGAGTTCATACAATCACACAGGCTTACGTGCCTAATTTTTATCTTATTACGCAGTTTATACGTCTATTCAGATTCTTTGTACAAACGAGTTCTTTAAAGCTCATCATTTAGGATGTAATAATACAGAAACTGCGAACCGTTTTTACTAACCTTTACTAAGTAGTTGGAAGTGGTTTTGATCCATCCTTAATTAGATAATTATAAATAACACGTCTAACATTTTATTGCTAGCGCACCATGGGAAACTCAGACGGATAAATTCTACCATTAATCTCTTTTTCACCGTTTACATTGGGCGGCTCTTTCCAATCAATTAATCCCACAAAAAGCCAGGTAAAGTTCTACAAAAAAGTTTAAATTCTTTTATTATATGTATTTTACATATTTCGAATTCATATGAAAATTGTTTAGATATCGACAAAATTTTATTATGCAAGTAGGTTTGTAGGTGTCCTTATATAATTACGCTTTTGATGAAATTGTCAAGTTTACTACGAATAAAAGTAATGTCAATTAATATTCAAAAACGTTTTTGTTTCGAATTTTTATTATCATCAGTATATACGATACTTTACTTCTTTAGATCGAGTCTAATAACAAATTCTTATTTATTACGCCGCAGATTTTTTTTCTTGGCTTATATAGACGTTGCCTCTCTTTGGCCAATCTGTATAAATATTATAGATGAGAAAGTTTGTTACTCTTTCAGGCCAGAACGGCTGAACGGATCTGGATGAAATTGTGCACAGAGATAGATAATAGTCTGGAATAACACATAGGCTCTTTATCCAAGAAAAATATACGGTTCCCGAGGGATAGATTTGTTATATAAAAAAGAAATCATATATATTATAAAAAAGAAATCACGTTACATAGGTATACCGTCTCTTACACAGTAACACAGCAACGTACTCGTTGTTTTTACAAAGAGATACTTTCTGGTCGGGACTTATTAAGAACCGTTCTTGGAAGAAGCTGGGGTGGATTGAAGGTAACTATTTTTTAGCGAATATATTTTGGAGACCTATTACTGTATACTAACTTACCCTTGCTTGGCTTGGGTGCATCCCTGTGTGTGAAGTAGTAACAGACATACACACATACATAAACTTATACCTATACATAGAATAATAAACCAATATCTATATACATATATATAATAAAATTGTAATTAAGCCGAATCTGTACATCAAATATTTTTTGGAAAATCTTATCGAAATAGACATTATTATCGATACAGAGTCCGAATCTATAGTTTTTAGAATATTTGTCTGTCTGTCTGTTACCGCATCACGAGAAAACCACTGGACAGATTTTGATGAAATTTGGTATGATGATAGCTGGATATCCGGGTCAACATATAGGATACTTTTTACCGCGGGAAAATATCTCATTTCTGAGAAAAAAATACAAAAACTGCATTGTAAGAGTATACTAATATGTAAAACCTAAGAATTTGGTTTTTAGTCATCTGAACGCGGGCGGAGCCGCGGGCAATGCTAGTGTAGGATATAACTAGAATGGTACACCGTACGTGTATAGGTGTTAAGTTTGTCTGGCTCTAGCCTCAGATGTAAATGACACTCAATTCGGACTTCTACTAGCATTCGCTAAGTAAATCTTACGTTTGAAGTTATATAATAGTGACACTTTTTAAGCACTAGGAGAGGTTAGCCCTCCTCTTTCTCATTATTTAAATGTATGGGCATGTCAGTACCTCAGTTACTCTGTATGTCCTTTAAAGTTTATTTTGATAACTGTGAGTGTAAAACAGATTATCAATACGCTTTTGTCTGACCCGTAGTAAAGTCTTGAATTAAAGATAATATCAATGAACAATTTAGATCTCTACCATAAAGTACCTAGTATCTATTATAAGTCTTGCCCAATTCTAACATAAATACATAAAATATTTTTATTCGTTCAGTATTCATACATACCTAACATGTGTTTTTATTATACCCATGTTCTTTTATAAATATATTATAGTAAACTAAAAAGTGGTCTTCTTTAGTTATTTTTGATTTATCACGCAAATTATTATAATTAAATTTTATTCTTATATAATAGGCACATTATGTAGAACACTTAAAATTTGCATTTCATGAAGAACTTGTTGCTGTGACGAATTGTGATGACACGCTTAAAAACTTTCCTTAAAAGGATTTTGATATAAATACTGTATACAAAAAAAATGTATATTTATAAAAAGAATATTATCTAAGTAAGCCCGTTTGTAATTCACCTGTTCACAAAATAGAGAAGGAACGCCACGTTTCATTGCATGAATGCACTTGACACCTTTATAAATGGAAGGTCGGGCGGCAAAAAGCGCAGAACAGTGGTGTTCTGACTTGACTCCGATTTAAGCCGATTGTCACCCACCTCTGGGGACTGGGAATAATCTGCTTTTGTTAGATACTAATGCTAAGGGTCGGGTCGCGCGTTGCTAAATTACGACAATTTATTATTTAATCTGTAGAATCCACGTTAAGGTATATTGTTATCTACCTTCTCGTAACATACCACCTAAACAACCTTTTATACAATTAAAATATTAATATTATAACAATGAAATGCTTAAAAAATCTTTTGTTAACCTCCTCACTAACCAACTACTACTGTAAATAGTATATTTTGCGAACAGAATTTTTTTCTGCACCTTTCAATTAAAACTGCATAAAAAATAATTATTTATTTTATATTTATTAATGGGACTTTTTTGCATATTTCTTATAAATACATCTTTTCTGTACTTTTATCGACCGTAGATTATATCTCTACCACTATTTTATTTAAATTTAAAACGAAGAATGTGTCAGACTATATGGAGGTGTTTAAACGCCGGATTCTCTATATGAAACTTATTTAAATAAAAAAACGTGTATGTGTGTACTTATGTACACACGTAAGAAATTATACTTCTATGGCGTAACAGAACGATAATAACTAAAGATTTCATCCCGTATGTCACAACTCTCTGTTTGTAAAAGGAATGCAGCTAACTTCATCATATCGCGTTTTGGCTGTCGGTGTGCGCGCGCATCGTAAGAATTTTGCTCACATATTTTTTTCCAAACGTGCCAAAAGAAGTGTAACTTCAAAAATACCTGTACTTATACTGTTAAAACAAGGATCGCCTCCTAAAAATAATAACTTAGTAGAAACTAGGATAAACGCTATCGTATTATAAACTTCCTCCTTTAGAAAACTTCGTAAATTTTCAACTAATTAAAAGAATTAAAGAATGGCTTTAGAACTGCTTTTTCTGATTAGCATTAATCTAAAAAAGATGGAGACTGAATAGATGCGTTGTTATTCAGAACTAAATTCAAAACTAAAATTAAAAAAAAAAACGTTAAGCACTATGACAATTGTCATTTGCATTGTTTTTTGTTCAATAATTTTTTTCAGTTACTTTTAAGTAACTGAAATAGATTTGTAACTCTCCCATTTGATGGAAGCTATACGAAATTAATATGCGGAAACTTCTCAATGGATTTTGATACAAATTAGTTTTACGGTCGATCGATTCATTATACTTTATTTAATTAATTAATAAATAATATAATTTATATTGAAATAGAAGACAAATTTTCACAAAAAATTGGGGCCTACACTCCTTAATCTTTTATGAAAACAAAATGAAAGTTTCAATAGTAGCACATGCATGTTTATTATTAATTGTACATAATATAAATAACACTCACTGTGAGTCACTATCACTGCCAGAATAGCTCGCCAACAACGAGAGTCCTGACGCTGTGGGAACACTTTTCACTTCACTTTTAACTAAACTCTCACTTTGACTTGGCTTCTCTTTCTCCTTTTCTTCGTTAATCTTCTTCGCTTTAACTAGATTATTTAAGGGCTTCTTAGATACTCCTATACTTCTGTTCCATGATTCACTTTTCTTAACATCTGTAGATTTTGTAGGTAATATTTCAATTTTTTGGTGTTTTACTTTTGGTTGATCATCTACTTCTTCTATTATTTCTTCTGTGACAATTTTGTGTTTGGTTTTGTTATTGAATTTAACTGATCTGAAACAATTTAATTTTGGTTTAGTTTTAACAAAATATGATCAAAATAAGTGAACGAAAAACTGTATGGTATATTTATGGTAGAGCAAGTGAAGCCATCATTCGCCTGAGCTCTCCTTGGTCGTATCCGATTGTCGTCCCATAGTATCATGATCATGAAAGTGAAAGGAATGAAGGAAAAAATCACGCACGAGAACACTGTATTCAAATATTTCAATTATATTTATTCAAAGTCCATTGTTACAATATATTACTAACATGTATGGTATGTTTTAAATAGATATGAATATTTATTGCGAGTATGCCTTAGGAGAGACATAATTCGTTAGCTCACTATTACAAGGTTCTATGTTAATTTTAAATGAAGTTTAGTAATTTTTACATAGGACTTCGTTATTTTGTTATCGTAAAAAAAAAAACAACATAGAACTATGTAAAATTGAATATTTTATAGTTACAGTGCCGCTATCTAGTGGTTTGTTTTTGCAAAACTGTAGCTAATGACACATAGAACTTTGTAGCATTAATAACTAAATAAGTACTAAATTGTAACATAGAACCTTGTAATAGTGAGCCAAGTAATAACTTATCACTACACACAATTTTGTTAAAATCGGTTCAGAACCTTTTGCGTGAAACGCGCACATCCATTTCTCTAAGTTACTGTTTTATTATATGTATAGAAGATAAAAGTAGGTAATGCGAGTATACCTTAAGAAATAGACATCCCATCAAAAACATGAATGTGAAAATGGGAGCCAAGTTCAATATTTAGAATATGCGTGGTTGTCAACTTCACCGACAAAAGAATTGAGATTTAAATGGGTGCCCAAGTTCTGTAGATTATCCTAAAAAGATGTCATAAGAACATACAATATTCTAAAATAAATTTAAAACACAATCTTGTTTTTTTTTCTGCTACAAAAGTGTCTGCTATTTAAAAATAGAACTTCTTAAATTTGAACTGACTTGGCTAGTTTTTACCAGTAAAGTAAGTTTTTAGAAGAGTGAGATATGTATGTTGACCTTACAATATAAAAACAGTAATTTGCATATAGCATAAAGAATATATTAGTTATTAGCCGAATATAAGGTAACTGTATGTAAGCCAGCGTTAGCCAAATAAAGTAAGAGTGACTTGATAGAACCTTGTTAATTATAAAAAGTTTTATATAAGAAATCTTGTATAAACAACCTCAAAATTTCTAACAGTTATTATTTTCTTAAAAAAGTATTTTTTTTTTAATTTACGGATTTTCAAAACAGCGGTAATTTTTTAACAGGTAAACTTTTTAGTTTATATATTAAAAACCCAAAGAAAAAAAAATCAAATCTATTCATTATATCTGGGAATAAAAAATGACGGAATTTTTCATTTACAATGACTAATTGCACTCGACTAAAGATTACATTACGCAATGTGTTCTAGTGCACAGATTCTACATTTTTTTGTCCATCTCTTTATGTTTATCATGCACGTTTGAATTAAAAACGTATTTAAACTAAACAAGAACATAAGCGCGAAAAGTTATGTCGCAGACAAAGTTTTGTAATGAATGCGAAATAGTAGATATCTAACTTTTAAATTTATTTTAAATAAAACTATCTTTTCGGATTTTGTCGCGGATTTATTTGCATTTTTGTTTCCCGACGTTTCGAATGCTTTACAGCATCCATGGTCACGGGAGAGACTGAGGTGTTACATGTCTTGGAGGTATAGTTGTTACAGACAGCCTACCCACAATTAACAAAACCATAATCCAAGACATGTAACATCTCAGTCTCTCCCGTGACCATGGATGCTGTAAAGCATTCGAAACGTCGGGAAACAAAAATGCAAATAAATCCGCGACAAAATCCGAAAAGATAGTTTTATTTAAAATGTCAAATATTCGCGTAAATCTAAGAAAGTATTATTCTTAAATTTATATTTATATTTAATATGCAATAAATCAACACATGATTTTGTCTCTTGTATCATATGTGTTATTTGAATATTTAATTTAAATTTTAAGTGGCCTAGGTAGATAACCGTAGTAATAAATTGAGTACAAAAATAAATTAGAAGACTGAACTACTAAATACTGAACTTATCATGAAAAAAAAATATGTCAATGTCTACGTGCTTCTCGAATCTAGGTTTACAGATTTTTGTTTTTGTAAAATTACAATTATAATATTCAAATTCATTGTTTATTAATAAAAAACTGTTCATGGTAGGTATACTATATCTATGCAGATAAATAAAATTAAAGTGTCTGTTGTTAGTGTCAAAATAACAACTTTTTACTAAATCCCTTTGAAATTATATATGGTACTTATAAGAAAACCAAAATTTTAAAATGTTTGTCTTTTTGTTACAACTAATCTCCGAAACGGCCAGAGTGATTTTGACGGGACTTTCACTGGCAGATAGCTGATGTTATAAGGAGTAACTTAGGCTACTTTCGTTTTAGAAAAAGAATTAGAGTTCAGCTAACAAAAATTAAAACGTACCTAGTGACGCAATCGGGCGAAGCAAGGGTAAGTCGCTAGTTATTAATAAAAAACTGTTTATGGTATACTTATAACTGTTTATGGTATATTATAAACCAATGATAAGTTACGTTCATATAGTAAGTAGCAATTGAAATCAAGTAGTTTAATTAGTAAAATTGATGAGAATTTACCAACTGAAACAAGAAACACTTTGATTGGATTTTTTTCAGGTTTCATGCTTTGCGGGCCAGTAGTAGATTCCTCACTGACTTCCATAATACTTACTATAATAGAATATAGAATAAATTGAGTTCTATATTAACTTTAAATTCAACAATTTAGTAGCTTTAAACTCATTAATGCAAAACAGCCATATACAATTTTGACAAAATAAATTGTGTGTTACAGCCAAGCTGAGAGAGGTCAGTTTTTCCAGTTTATAATTTTGCACAGGGTATGTACAACTACATAGACGCTCACCGTCGCTTCGTTCGGGTTCGTCACTAGTAAAAAATAAAAACAAATCTATCCCATGGGAGTCGAACATTTACCGGTGATAATAAGTAGCCTATATGGTATTCCAACCTATAATCTATCTGTATGCCAAATTTCTTCCGGATCCGTTTAGCCGTTCTGGCGTGATTGGGTGACAAACATCCATCCATCCAAAGTTTTGCATTTATATAGCAGTAAGATTTATCTCCTTAAATTAAATGGTACATAGGGGATATTACGAGTATTATATATCATGAAAATATTAAAGGTTTCGTTAACCTTTTTTTTTTTTTTATGTCGGGAAATGCATTTACGCATACCACCTGATCCCCCAGGTGGTGATGTGGGGCTCACCGGCTAGAAGAGCCGGTACTACCCACTAAAACCCGACATTCCCCTCCCCTCCGCCTTAATGGGACGCCGCAGGATCGCTTGCGCATAACTACTACGGCGGCAGGTCTGCCAACGGCTGACCACCACACCGATGGGGCTGCTCCACAGTCTACTCTGCTACACCAGAGAGGTACCCGGAGCAGCCCCATTAAATCGAACCTCCGCCCACCGAAGTGGGCCACCTCCAATCGGCTGCAGAGGACAGGGAGAGCGGCAACGAAACACCGACACTCCTCTTCCCCTGCAGCCCCACCGCGTCCGCCATCAAACGGTGGCGGCCCCGTCTAGGCCGCGGAAGGTAGGGAGAACGGCGCACCGAAATACCGGCACTCCTCTCCCGCCGCGGCCTACTCCTCCGCCGAATGCGGGCCTGCGACCACAGTCCCGCAACCGGCACCCATCATCCGGTTGTGGGACCAAGCGGTCCCACCACCGGTGGCCGCAACGTCTTCGGCTCGAGTCCTAGACGAGCGGCCCCACCCAAGCCATTTGGTCCGCGCCGGATTTCTCCGGTACCACCCGCCGCCCTAAGCGGGTGGCATTCCCCTATCCGCCACCTGGGGACGCGCCCGGTAGGAGTTGGCTTCTCTCCCGGGAAGGTTTCGTTAACCTTACTGTTAGCCAAGACAGACAAATATTACCAATTATAAGAAATACTCACTTGATAAATTCATCATCTTCTTTCTGTTCTCTCTTTAGCCTTTCTTCTGTTGTCTCAGGTTGGTACTGCTTGAGTAAGCTCTCGTAATCCACAGTGTGCTGACGTCGATTTAACTCCTTTAACTCTTCAAGACTTTCAAGTACCTCAATCTCTTGTCTTGACTGTTCTGTTCTATATTCTGCAAAAATTGTTAATAAATAATTTTAGTTTCTTTTTTTTGATATTATACTAAATATAACTGCCTAATCCTTGGATATTATTACTTATGTCGTTGAATGTAGGGTTTATTTTAGATTTTCATACTCTTTATCTTGTTAAGTAATAAAAAAAACTCAGAAAGCTTTGATCAGTTGTTCGCTTTCCACCAATATTGAGGTATAAAAGTACATATATATAAGATAAAGATGAGAGCTAAACATTTAAACAATGCATACATACATACATAAATGCCCCCCACCTTACCCAGTCAGGTAGTCACTCTTGCAATATGGATAATGGATAAGAGTGTATAATTGTAAAAAATGTGTGCATTTTTAGCATTTCAAGTTCTTCCTCCTCATTCCCTCACTGATGAGGATCGTGACCACTTATGATTTTTTCTCAGCGAGTTCAGTTCAGCAATGCCTGGACTGCGGCATGGAGAGTAGCACCCACTGCCTTCTTTATTGCGTCTGACCACCTTATAGGTGCTCTTTCAAATTAGATCATACATATTAAGCCTCTATAAAATAATTACCAAGTAACTTCATAGGGTTGTTTGCTTCTTCTTCCTTTTGTTCTTCTTCTTCTTTCTTTGCTTGTTCTTCAGCTAGTTTTAAAGCCATAAAATTTCTGGTGGCACCAGCTTCTATTTCATAATCTGTGTTCTTTGGGTCTGTTTTAAATGATATTTCCTGAAGACATCTGGTACACTGAAAATTTATATAGTGTTTGTGGTAAATATAATATAGAGCAGCATGTTTTATAATTTACTAGATTTTTAAGACTAAATTAAATTGAAATAATAAAGCAAACAAATATATAATATGAATAAATAAGAATGTATTGAAACCATATAATATTTCCATAAGTAAATTTCTGTGGTTTCATTTACATATTTTAAAAATTTAAGGCTATCAATTTGTAACCAATTTTCATAAGTAGAATGCATGTCATTCATTTATGTGCAAAACAACAAACACATAATGTTGAAAATTTATTAGAGAATTGTCTTGTATCTGTACATAGACAACCAAAAATTACAAAACTAAATAGTAAATGTGTGTATTTAATCTTACATTAACACCCTAACAGATTTGAGTCATATTTTTAAGTAGTGGCAATTAATGTACCTGGTATTTATATATAACATAAATACTGGCATTCTAAATTTGTTATTCAATATGATTTTTTCCATAAGTAAACCTAAATTATGTTTTTATAAATATTTTTATAAAATTATATTTTTATCATTAATGCAAAGAATTGTATAAAATAACTTGTTTAATTATTCAGGTCAATATCTCATATATTTTCCTCTTACTACAAAATGTTTGTGGATTTAGAATGTTGCTTATATTCGTTTATCAAATAGTAAGAGTTGTAAAACTAATTAAAAAATATTATAACAATCATACATACTTTTATATAAAATCTATAAATTCTTATGCCTAGATAATCTTCATTTTCTACATCCTCTTTACGCGCATTAAATTTTTTGCCCTTATAAATGTACTCGCCACAAGTAGCACATCGCATATTGAATGGAGCCATTAATCGAACAGTATATTGACGATTTTTGGCTAGCTTCATACGAGGGATCTTTGAAGGATCGAAGTCCGGAGGATAGTATTTCTAAAAACAAAAATAACAATTAGCATTTAACGTGTACGTTTTATGTCGAATATATTATTAGTCATAAAGGCACAAGTTACTTACATTTAAAACTTTTCTTTCCGACATATTGTTTGGTTTTGTGTATTTCTCTTAGCGTAATATTAAATAAAGAAAAATCTTGTACAAAGCTTCTGTTTACAAGTTTGTACTATTGTTACTACTTAGTTCATAGTTGTTACCCGTCAGCCATCTCGTAACTCGTTCCCTATCTGCTGTCATTTGTCAAGTTTGACATTTGGCATTGGTAGTAAATTGAGGGATGTCATTTGACGTAATCCACAGAGTATACTGTCATATATTTATTGGGGAAGAATTATGACTTTTTCTCCCGCCAGATGTCACGATCACTATGGCCCTCAGTTTATTATAAAGCTCTATTGCGTGCATGGATTTTATTTAAAATTTAATTAAAATTACAAATTTTACAGTGCCAAGATGCAAAGAAAATGGATATCATTTTCCAAAAGAGAGTTCCCAAAAGACAAAAACTTAAGAAATTGTGGGCTAAAGCAATAAGACGACCAAAATTGGTCAAATCACAATCTTTATATTTAAGGTTATGTGTACATCATTTTAACCACTTGAACCCCGCTGGTGCCTATAGGCACCACTTCTGGCGTTACCGTCAGACCCTGCTGGTGCCTATAGGCACCACCTCGCCCGCTGCACTTTTATCACTTATTACACGACGAAATTAGTTTATTTTATGCTCAATGAGTGATACACGCAAACTTTAGAAGTTTTATTAACTATATAATAAAATAAAATATTAATTAAATGCTGACAAAATTAAAAACAAAATTGTTTAAATTTCAACTGAAGCGCGCGTGATTCGCTATTGTTTTTGTATAATTTAAAATATTTAAACTAGTGAATTTGTGCCGTAAACGTATGAATATTTATTATTAGAATTTTTTATGACTATTGAGATACTAATAAGTGTATAGTCACGTAATAAAAGTAGTTTTTTGGTAAAACGAATTTTGATGTATAAAATTCGTAAAATAAGTCGCCATTTTATCAGCGTTTTTAATTAATATTTTTTTGTAAAACCGTGTTTAGTAAAGTCTTCTAATTAAAAAAAATATAATTTTAATTTTATATTGTGTATATTCAATATAAAATTAGTCTATTTCTAATTTTTTTCCATAAATAATAAAAGTTTTTTATCGGGAGAATAAAAAAAAAATCTGTCCGATTTCATCTATACATAAAATAAAATTGTAACTAAGCCGAATCTGTACGTTAGATATTTTTTGGAAAATCTTATTGAAATAAACATTATTATCGATACAGAGGCCAAATCTATAGTTTTTAGAATTTTTGTTCGTCTGTCTCTCTGTCTGTCTGTTACCGCATCACAGAAAAACCACTGGAGGGATTTTGATGAGATTTGGTAAACTGCAATGTAAGAGTAGACAAATATGTAAAACCTAAAAATTTGGTTTTTGGTCATCTGAACGCGGCCGAAACCGCGAGCAATGCTAGTTTATTATATAAAACTAGCACTGCTCGCGGCTCCGCCCGCGTGGAGCCATGGATGACAATGGTTTGAGCAACAACTGTGCAGGTTATGAGTGATAGCCTATTTTCATCTTCTATTTCAATAACTTGACCTGATTCAAATAATTTATGGCCTTTTTTGTTGTTTGGCCTCTAATCTGATCATTTTTGTCAGTAAAAAAACAAATTTTATTATTTTTTGCGTTATTTAGGAATGACTAATAATATTTATTACACTGCTTACATCAGTGTTTTTCTTATTTAACACCAAGGTGCTCTACTTTTGACAGAAGTGCTGCCCTCTATAGTTTGGGCACGATCCCTTAGCATTTCTATATAATTTGTGCCTATATATAACTATAGAGCGGAGAGCCTAAGCCTATATCTATCCGTACTCCACAGGCGCAGCTTTATTGGACGCGTTTTGACGGACATTTTTGCATACTAGTGTCTCCTGCTTACTTCTACGCTCCTTATTAATTTAAATATAAAAAACTTACGTCATTGGTAAATACTCCATGATATTAACAAAATGTTTTTAAACATACATTTTTCATTGCAAATAAGTAATTTTTATTTTTATATAGAAAAAATAAAAATTGTTTGCTATGAAAAACTCACAAATTATAATAAATTAAACATGTTTCGTAGGTGAAGGTCTAAATTAAAAAAAAACCTTGCGATACAAATTTAATATTTGAAGAATAAAAATCAAACGATACCGAACAAGTCATCAATCACAAACTCACAAACTTGCACAATTTATATTATGGATTTCTCCGTCGTCGTCAGGTGTGTATGTTAGAAAAATAAAAATTTTCTGTAACAAAGTAAGAAATTTGTAATAAAACACCAAAACGTTTGCCAGAAGACACAAATACTTAATAATACAATTACATATTATTCTATTTATTTCCAAAAACATCTATGTTTTTGCAGCGACGCATCCAAGGGAAGCGAGGGTAAGTCAAAAAGTAAGTACTTAAATAAAAAATGATCCTAGTAGTGCACTTTTAATATTAGACCTCTACAAATACATTCTACTGATATTTTGTAATTGGGAGATACCTTAATTAATAGACTCAAAAAGTTAGTTTTGTTTTAGTTTTTATAGCATAACTATGATTCACCTTTCTCGTCGGTTTCCAGCCGCCAATTCATGTTCTAGAGCAGCGATCTTCTCTTCTTGACGAGTACGCTGTGCCTGTGACCGCGTTTGCTGCTCTTCTAAAGCAAATACAATTTTCTCGAGTCTGTGTATTTGTTGTTGTTTGTTTTCCAGTGTCGTGAACAGCTCTTGGATTTCATCGGCTTTTGCACCTATTTGTTTGTTCACCTATATAATCATGTATTAAAGCTATATTATTAATTACTAAGCCTCTGTAATGTATCGATTGTTTTTTTTTCTAGTGATGTTCTATTTAAAATGATGCAAATATTTTGAACATGATTTGTAGGTCTTCGTAAAAACAAAATATAAAAAAAAGTAGAAATATCCTCACTTCATCTACGATCTTCATCCGATGTTCGAGATCTTGTTGCAATGTAGCAAGCTTCCTACTTTGTTCTGTTTCCTTATTATTAAGCATATTAATCAATTCTTCTCGTACCTATGTACATTTGTGATTTAAAATAGAAAGAAATACAAAAATAAACAATATATTAAAAAAGTATCTCGCATTTCCAAGATAATACTACCTACATGATACTTAAATAAATAATCCCCAAAAATATATATTACATTTTAAGGGTAAAATGTAGATAAGTATTTATTATAAAATTGTATAACCTTTATAACTTTTGCCTGTGCTCGTGATGTTTTATTCTGGTGTTCTAGTTGCTGTTCTTTTTCTGCTAAAGATTCTGCTAATTCTTCTTTACTATGAAGTGCGTCTAGAAGACTCATTTTAAGATTCATAATCTAGAAAAAAAATATTGACTGAACTATTTTTTACGCACATACTTAATTATACTTTAACAAAAAGTAACATCGAAAAATAGCTATTAAAATACCTCTTGTTGCAGATATTGATAACTCGAATTATTTATCGCGTCCTCACTATTCTCCTCAGTACTGTTGTGTATTTGTAATTCACGAAAATATTCTTCATATTGAATGATTTTTTGTTCGCTAAAACAATAAATATAAACATAGATTTTTTTTGGTATAGTTTAGTAGTCAATTAATTACAGTGTATGTAATCATTTACTTAAGTTTGTTCATTTTTGTTAATTCTCTTATTTGCAATTGGTTTTTTCCTAATATTTCTTCTTTAGTTAGTAGTTCTGCTGCTAGTTTCTGCTGTATCCCTACTTTATCATCCGACTCCTAGAATACCAAATATATATATTCAAAGAAGAAATTGAAGTTAGGTATATACCTATTTTCATAAATCGTTTAATCTCCTGAAATTGGGGTTATAAAATTTATCTGGTATATACAACTGAAAAGTAGTAAAAAAAATATTTTATGATTAAAACTTTATGTATTTCACGTAAAATAAATGTAAAATTTATATCCACCGCGATTTTCGTAAGAGTTTCCAAAAAGCGAACTTTCTCTCGTTTACATGCGTTCATTTCCTCTTCAGTTAATCGCAAAGTGTCTTTTGTAGCTTGTAGTTCAGCCCACATATCCATTTCTCGTTCGGTAGGTAAGTCTTGATAAAAATAAGATATTTTTAGTAAAGTATTAGTTACCTTTTTTCTTTCGTGGGGAAACCTCTTTAAGGTGTTCGTGCGCGGGTGGCGCACGTGGTATGTGGGACTCCTGCCATGAGAAACACGACAGACTACCCACTAAAAGTATTAGGTGCCTACATTAAAGCATTCCAATTCATTTATTAAATTTAGTTAAAGAAATATAATACAGTTCTGCAGAACGGTACTTGTTCCCATTTTCCTTGCATGTACTCTATACTGATTGATGGTTTTTATACATACCCGGATTTAGCCTGTTGCCTTCTAAACCAGTACATTTTGCCTTAAGTTTCTCTATAGTATTCTGATTCTCTTTTATTGCGACTTCGAGCTGGTGTTTTTGTTCAATTTCCGCTTGCGTCAATTTTTTCTCTTCGTCAAGAGCAGACATCAAATCATTCAATTTATTATTCATTGTCTGTTCCTCTGACTTATGTTTATCAGTTAATGTCTGAATTTGCTCTTTCAAATTTTTAACCCTATTACATAGTTATAAGTTTATAGGTATATTATTAGTAAAGTAATCTAGAATTTTATCTTAAAACGACTTACTCATTTTTAAGGGAATCTCGCTGTTGTGCTAATTGAGAACTGGTCACTTCTCCTGTTTTTAAAGATTCTTTTAACTTTCTCGCTCTTGCTTCTAGCTGTACTTCACGTTGTCGGCTCTAATAAATAATACGTATTTAAAATTTTAATCTTTAGCTTAAACTTTTTCATCACGAACGATTAAGTGGTTTTGTATATTATAGAATTATTATTTTTCCTGGTTGACTGGTTCCTTACCTGGTCCTCTAAAGTTTTAACAGTGCCTGTAAGGCTTGCTATACTTGCTTCTGCCTCTCGTAGTTGACGATCCATTTTAGAAACACGTAGGCGTGTCTGCCTCAATTGTGTTTCTGTTGATGTAAGTTTGTCTTTCATTGCAGATTTCGCCACGCGTTCTTCTTCTAATAATTGGCGAGTTTGCTAATAATATAATGCGTATATTAGTAATAGTAATTAATTAATTTAAATTATTATTAGTAATAAGGAACTAGCTGTCCCGTTAGTCATATTTGAGTTCATATAAAACTCCTGTAGAAAAAGTATTTTCATTTTTAACGAACATTTCCCAATATTTTTTCAATATCCTTTTTTGAACTCTTACGGACTATTAAAAAATTTTTAAATGATGTTGCTTGTCAACGAACAGTCTTTCATTTTTATTTCTATAGATACAAAAAACTTAACTACATATTTCATGACGCAGTCCTGTCTATATATAACATAAGTATGTACGCGAAAAGACACGTACCGGCACGCGTAGATATACGTAGAAATTACAGACCAGATTTAATGCAGTATTATGGTGGAACGAAAAAAATAAGTAAAGAACTTACCTCCAGTTCCTTAGAAATGTCAGCATCAGCTTGTATCTTACATATTTCGTTAGTCATTGTAGGACGGGTCTCTAAATCTTGCCGCAATCGTGCTACCTCTCTTACAAGTGACTCTCCAACAGCGATTAATGTTGATCTTTCTTCACAAGCTCGTCTAAGCAATTAATAAAAACATTCAGATGCAAGCTTTGACTCTTTATTGTTTACAATTTACAATACAATTTACTACCTACTCAATTTGAAAATAATGATGATAAAAATTGGAGGACTTAAAGCTACTTTTATCTCTATAAAATAGAATTCAAAGAAAAGTGTTTTCCATGTTCAGATTAATGTACCTGGAAAGTGCAATAATAGTATCAACAGCATCATCTGCCCGTGTTTTAAGGTCACGTAAGACTTCATAGAGTTCGAGACCCTGTGTATTGTAATTAGCAATTCTTTCTACTGCATCAGTAGCAACAATTTCCTGTTTTAATACAAAAACATAGGAAATAGGGTTGTAATCAATTTATATGAAAATAATAATTCCAACACGATAAATATTAGAATTTCTTACGTTCTTTTCGATTAAATCCTTAACCCAATTTATTAAATCTTGCCGAGCTGTAAAAGCTTGGAGACATAATTCAGCAAATTGTACTGGAACTTTTAATGCTTTCGACTCCATTTCTGCCAGTGTACATTCATCTAAGAATAACAATATATTTTAGGCTATTGTTAGTTTACTCGGATGAAGAAAATATATGAAAATATGTTTTTTTTGCTCATCCAATATATTTATAGTCTGATGAATCCTGAACTAATATAATCCAGTAGGTACTAGGGAATTTCGGAGCAATAAAAATATCACAGATTCACATTTCGGCTGTCGTTTTTAATGATTTACTATATACTATATAGTGATACTCTTTATATATATACACACATACTTGAGTCCCTTGTTCGATTCTCTTTAATACTGTAAGGAATACTAAAGCATTTTTTGGATATAACATAAAATAGATTAAAATTACCAAGCGGGACAGTTTTATTAAAAAGTTCTACTGCGCCATCTGTATTAGAGAAAGAAACAGCATCACGACACAACTGGGTTACTTCTTCCGGAGCCCAGTCAGCCACATTCAATACCAGTAATTCTTGAATTTCTTCGTTACAAACTGAAATGCCCTCTCGCATCATGTGTTCCCGTAAATTTCGAATACCATCGAAAAGTTTTAAAATTTCTTGCTATATGTTAAATAAATGAACCAATCTATTAATAAATAATGGAAGATATAAATGTATTTATTTATAAGTAATAATATTATTAATTTACCTGTTGCAGATCTAATTCTCTCTTTAAATGATGAAATTCTTTTTGTTTGTTCAAATATAATGATTTTAAGTCCTCGTTGTTTTTTGTGGATTGAGGCGCATCATGAGACGGCACAGACATTACTGGCTTAGGACTTATGGGTGTAGATGGTGTTTTTGGTCGTGTTAGAGGCGTGTTAGATAAGTTAGATGTATTGGATGTGTGATTTCGCTGTGGTGTATTAGGACGACTGATAGGGGTACTATGTCGCTGCAAAGGATGTGCTGGCGTACTTGGCCGACTTAGCGGTCGCGGCGTTTGTGGTCGACTGGAGATAAATTTCGGAGTTTGTGGTCGACTCACAGTAGGAGTTTGTGGGAGTTTCGTGAGTTCTGGAAAAATAATGGTAATAATCTATAAATTTAGATAATTTTCTGATCAAATCGATCAAAATATAATTTTAAGATTATACTCATACCACTTTTAACTTCAGATTCGTATTCCGGCATATTGTCCAAGTTATTTGAATCTATAAAACGACACGTGACATAAAAAGTATATATTCAAAAAATTGACGATAATAAGAAAATATTGCAATATTATACCAAAGTTAGCAATTTCCTGACTATTTTGCGTATCACCAGCGCTACTGCTGAATGCCATTTGTTCTTTTGATTCATTCAGGGTATTATATAAATCTCCTGGTGATGTGTAACATAATTGAGTTTCTTGTTTTGTAGATATCTAAAAATTAAACAAAATTCATTCATATAAAGAATACTTACATGACTTATAAACAGTCAGAGAAATTTCATAAATACCTAAGTATATGTTACTGATTTGGCATATGTATTTTAATCCAAGAGTTAGAAATGTACATATTTGTTTCTTAACACAGACGGACTTACGGCTCAACAGATATATGTGTGGAATCGAGATACGTTGAACGGAGCCGCTGGTAAAACTATTTAAAAATATTCAACTTAAATAAAATCGGGCTTTACGTTTATACTTACGTCTAATACAGGTTGTTCATTTTCGAAACTTCTATTTATCTGAAAAAAATTAATTAAACAAAATTAATATAAAATGACAAATTTATTCTTCTATGTTCTGTATGTATCCATTATTACTAACTTTGACTTCTGTTTTCGAATCAACTTTTTGAGCATTTCGTGAAACCGCAGTTCTCACCTGTGTGCACACAAGCAGTTAAAAATTTCTGCCCTTAATATTTTTACTGATGTAAATAAATGTTATATTATTATACCTTTGATGTTGTAGGTGACGGCGGAGAGCGGACAGGTGACTGTCGTTGGTTGGTGAGAGCAAGGCTTCGGTTGGCAGCATTGCGGGCAGCGCGAGCCACTGATGCGGCTGTAGGTCTTGGGGCCAAGCGAGAAGTCACATCTTTAACCAACAAGAATGATTTCGAATAAATATCTTATTTCTATATTCACCTCTTAGTTTTCAATTTATGTCGGCTAGAAAATTAAATTTCGACTTACAAGGTTTATCTTTCGGTGCTTTTGTTGATGTCATTGTAAATACATTCATATAATTATTTGAGAATTTTGACTTCCTTAGAATTTACCATCTGTAAAACGTTAAAAATTTTGATATAGTACTAAATACTAATTGTCTTATTATTAATATTCCTTTTTCGAAATATGACATAAGAACTAATAAAAGAGTTTTTATTAAAAATATTATAATATTAATATATTATTCATATTCTAATAGTTATGTACGCATGATAATATATAATAGAAAATATGTACCTGTCTACTAAAAACTGGTATTAGCTAAGTATTAAGTTATTTATAGATTTGTTATCAATGTAATTTTGTATTATGAAAAATTAATAAGAAAAATCATAAACATAGTACAGAAAATGAAAATTGTAAAATAAAATAATGGGTATATAAATAAAAATATTCATCACTCATTTTTATAAGATAAAAAAGTTTGGATGTACGTGATTACGCTGATCGCCCGTCTATATAATTACTAACTCTGTGTTCATAAAGCATAGTCGCTGGTGCTGCCAATTACTTGATCATCTTTCATTTTAAATCTAGAAATGACAAAAAATCATTTTGTTAATTTGGCTTTAATGAAGTAGGTATGTGAAATTTTTTGAGTCAAGTATTTATATGTACTTATATTTCTGATTTAGTTAAAAAATCTGTTACAATATATCACTCATTGGTGATGTCAGAGGAACCAAGATCACTGGGTATCGTTTTTTATTTTAAAAGATTAAACAATAAGTGCAATAAGAAAATTTTGTTTATAAACTAAATTAGATAAAATTATTTCAGGCAGAAATAATACAACCGCATGCCAGCATAAATGTCGCATTCCAAAACGATTACCACCCGCGTGGCAGCAACTATATAATAATAATCAAAAAATTACAAGCGAATATGTAATTTATTTTGTTCTTATTCATAAAAAAATTTACGATAAAATGTAATATAAAATAATCAACCTTTTTTAGAAAAATAAAGGCGAAACAGCATCCATGCATCAATCACGTAATGGGTTGCGATATATGGCCAGACCCAGCTCTAGTGAGGTTAGGCTATTTCTTTTCAGCTATTTAATGTTTTTTCTTCTCAGATATGTAGTGTTTGTTAAATTTTTATTCTTATGTCACGGGGTCTTATCAAGAAGAAAGAAAAAATAACTAAAATAAATTTTAACATCACGACTTATTATCGTAGATTGCTTCGAAGATTCTGTATACCTACGGCTGTATGCAATGTCGCAACTATTAATCCAAACGGTCCACGAACCACAAAAACAATTTTGCATTTGTGATATTTAGTTTACTAATAATATTAATAAAAATATTGATTTTTATAATTCTTGGAATAGAGTCGTCCAAAGTCAACAAATCGTGCGACTGGAGACATGATCGACAAAGCGCAATTACACCCAGCATCGCGACACGCTCGACCCACCCGAGACAGACTCATGCCGGCCCTAAGAGTAAAATTGTCTATTAAATATCTTTATACTTTACTACTACTTTTTTAGAAATCTTCAACGAGAACGATTAAGCGCATTTCAAGAAGAGTTTTTTTGTACTAGTAATGAAGTCAAAATTCTTATTTATTAAATAAATATAGGTAGTTTTATATTAATATTTCAAATCAAAAGGTACTTTGAGCGCCCTGTTCTCTCTTTTTTTGCTCTACGAGTAGTACCGTAAGCTTTAAACTGAGGTGGTGTCTAATGATCACACGTAGGTACTTAAAAAAAAGAATGTGTAACAAAGTACAGTGAAGTATATAATACTAACTGTAAAACGTTTTTACTTTTTACAATATGTTTTCAATTTTTGTTTCAGAAACCAGTACCGCCCGTGCATAAAAGGATTTCGAGCGATAAATCGTACGATACGTCTCTTAACAAGTCGAGAAGACCAATTATTACAGTGCCCCTTGCAGAGGTATACTCATGTACCATAAAACAAATATACATTTTAATTTTAAATGAAGTGTTTAAGGTGGGTTAAAGATAATAAAAGTTAATTTTAAAAAATGATAAATTGCCAGTCGGACTATCATAATATAGGATATCGTATGGGAATCCAAAGACTAGTATATTGTTGTATTTTTTGTATGCTAATGAAAAGTGGTAGCCCAATCGTAACGGGTTCGCTTGGGAAACCGAGCAAAGCGGGTTCGAATCTCGGGACTCGCACTACTGATATTTTAATGTGCGAATCATTTCCAACATGAATACCACTGGTCTTACGGTGAAGCAAACCATAATGATGTCTTTTATGTACCTAGCAAGTTTTCGAAAGACGTGAAGTCCGCCAACCCGCACTTGGCCAGCGTGGTGGACTATGACCTGATCCCCCTCGTATTGAAGGGAGGCCCGTGCCCAACAGTGGGACGTTAAAAAAGGCTGAATTATGAATAGATACATATGTTATACATACAAGTAAAACTCTATATTCTGCAATTTAAATACATATAAAAGAAACATATATTTCTATTGCTTAGATCAAGCATAATATTTAATACCTAACGTGATAAAACTTCTTTATTTTGAAGTTTGATTCTAAAAAATCGGATTCATGTAAATAAATGGAATCAAAAGTGCCTTTACATACATATATAGCTACAAAATTTCAATTTATTCCACCCAGTTGATTTGGGGTAATGAGGTTGTGACAGACAGATACACGAGTGAGACTAAAAGGATACAATCTTCTTTCAGACACGAAGTCTCTTTAAGTAACCGGAAATATTTTTTTATTATTTATATTTGTCATAACAAACGGGATAGGACCTTTGAGGCCTTGTCATTTACCACCGAATGTAGTCTATAATTTACTGTATACTTATATAATCAATTACAATAATTATTAGAGAACTAAAAAAAATATTATTTATATGGTTTATCGCGTAATATTTTTTTATTTTATTCAAATCATTTGCATTTCCGCAGAACATATTGCCAAAACCTTCGGATCAAAATAGAAATCAATCAAAAGGCCAGGTAGGCCAGGTATTTTATAGCCTATAGTATATTCTATTTTCAATTGACTTCGAAAATATCTAATTAGGTATCTATTCTAAATGAAAAGCCCCGTTAGTTATTTTTTCAACCGACTTCAAAAAGGAGGAACTTCGTCATTTATTAACCGATTTGGACAATTTTTGTTTTGTTTGAAAGGGTATACTTCCAGATTGGTCCCATTTAAATTTCAAAAAAAAATACCACCCCTAAGGGTGGAAAAATAGCTAATGATGGATTTAACCTACTTCTAATTGTCATAATGACTTGAAACTTTGCAAGTGTTTCTATTTCCGTTGATAGTACATTGGTTCGGTATTGTTGACCTGATCTGATGGTAAGGCCAGAAGGTGGATAGGTGGAACTCTTCAACAGCTAATAGTAGATACTTTGAGTTTGGGCTTATTTTGTTTGATTCGACAAGCCTAACACGTTAGAATTCTTACTTTGCTACTACTGTCTACACTAAAAAGGGAAAAATAAAAACTTTTAAACAAAAAAATAAAAACCGACTTCAAACAAAAGCACTAAAAAGTAAAAAATAACTGATTGGTAGTTTTCATTTACTATACATACCTAATCAAATATTTTCGAAGTCGGTGTGCTTTGGCTAAGTAATTAAAGCCTACCTATTAAATACATACATACCTAATCAAATATTTTCGAAATCGGTGCCAGCCCATACAAAGCAAAGCACACCGACTTCGAAAATATTTGATTAGGTATGTATAGTAAATGAAAACTACCAATCAGTTATTTTTACTTTTTAGTGCTTTTGTTTGAAGTCGGTTTTTATTTTTTTGTTAAAAAGTTTTTATTACATTTTAGTGCCTGGAAGTCGGATGTTTTAAGTTTTTATTTTTCCATTTTTAGTGTAGACGTCATAAGCAGGCAATTTGTAAGAAGAAAGTTTTTTAATAACATATTCGATTAAACAATTAAAAAAAATATTGTTGATATTTTAAAAAACCGTTAGACCGATTTCGATAAAATTTATATGGGACATCATCAATTTTCATCATTACTCGAAGACGCCTGAACCGATTTGAAAAATTCTTTTTTTGTTTCAAAGTGTATACTTCCGAGGTAGACCCATTTAAATCTTATCGAAATCTGTTGAGCGGTTTTTAAAAAATCAACAATAAATTATTTTAAATAAATGGCCTAATCAAATATGTTATTAAAAACTTTCTTCTTACAAATTATCTCCTTATTACGTCTACACTAAAAATGGAAAAATAAAAACTTAAAAAAAACATAAAAAGTAACTTCCAGTAAAAATATTTTTTTTAAATTACGATTTAAAAGTTTGATTGAACAATATAAACTATCTCTAGCACTCTCTCTCTCTATTCATTATGTATTTTAATTAAATTTAAGATTGAAAAAGATTTTTTTCATTTAACGTTCTAAGTATAACAATGAAATATTCAGGAAATAATTGAAAAATGTGAAGATCTGAAAGAGAAGCAAAATTTTTTTTGTGGCAGCCAAATATACGACGATATGGACGAATTGTTTTTAGATTTCAACGACGAAGGTAGAGATTTGCTGTGTTTGCATAATATCACGAGGAATATTTAAACTAGTTAATATTATTATTATTCTACAAAAAAAAATCATTTTAGAATCTGTTACTTCGAGAAATGATAAATTGACGCAACTTAAGGCATTGTGGCAAGACAAAATTGTGCAATTTGAGCGAATGAAAAATGAACTCAATAATCAACAGGTATGAATAACATTTATCTCATATAAAAATATTAATTTTTAGTTGTCAGGTCTGTTTATATTTTTTTTTAAATATGAAAAGAAGTACTTAAGGATAGACTACCTAGTAGTACCTACTGATTTTTTATCATACTTAAGAATTAAACACTTAACAGTCAACACTATAATAAATATAAGTTTTTAAATTATCGCGTTTCATAATTATATAATAATTACACTGCGGCAATTCGTAAGTGGCAGACTCAAGGTCTGCCCCTGACCACGGCTGGTGCAACCCAGTCGAAACGTCGGAAACAAGGTATATATCCACTTACGTTCATATACATTGATATTAATTCACGCGTTAAGTCATGTAGTGTAATTCTTATATAACTATAATAAATCCAAAGCCTTATAAAATCTCTCTCTTTTTAAATTCGTTGTACTATGCCCCTTTAAATATTCCAGAATGCAATATTACAAATCTACGCATCATTGCGGAATACGAAACAAGAGCTGACGAGTTTAGGAGAAAACGCTCACTTACCTTCTGTCGATGACTTACGGATCATGAATGTGGCAAATATGACTCCCAACCAACTACTCCTAATGTGTACGGAAACTAAATACAAAACAGGTATTTATAACTTCGTAGCATTATTTCTATTTCTCTTTGTAATTTTTTCAATTTTTGTTTTAATAATATTTTATATTTGCATGTAACATACATATGTACATATGTAGATACATCTTTGTGTATATGTACGTTATGTAGCTATGTATGAGCTAATTTTTTAAATAACTCATTCCATTTAATATTTACATCATTTTTATTACCTGAGCGTATTTCTACTTTGTGATCCTATTGTTCTACATCACTAGTACCTATGAATTATTACCCTTTTAGATGTCCAGCAAGCATCAAAAAATATTCTAACAGTTGATATCAAAAAATTAAGCGACATGCCCCTACGGCTTATATCAACTTGCGAACGAATCTTAGCTTCTAGAAAAGAATTCATTGAATGGTTTGAACATTTAAAAAACGAAGAAAAGGTACAACTTCTATTATTTATTAATTACTACAAAGCATGTTATAAGATTTTTGATATATATTATAAAAAATTTAATAGGGTTGCCCAAAAAGTACTCTTTCAAAAAAAATTAATGAATTTACGGCAGAAAATGATATGTTAAATAGCGTTTTGCTCTCCGTTAAAAAAGAATTCCTCAAGGATATAAGCGAGTTTTTAAGGTATGGTTACACACTTTATTGTTTAAATGTTTAGTTTAATTTTGCTTTTCGATTGACTTAATTTTTTTATACTATATTTTTTATTACTGCATATTTACTATTTATTTTTTTATTACCAGAACATGTTGTGATGAGACAATAGCGCTTCAACAGCGCAACCAATATCTGACGTCAGAAATGTCAGGGCTTAATTCACAGAACGCTGACCTCAAAAAAAGAATAACTTCTTTCGAGCAGCAAAAAACGTTAACAAGCAAAGTTAAACTAGAGGTATAACATAGACTTATATTTTTGTTATTTAAAGTCCACTTGCAGTTCAGCAAAAATCTAATAAAAAGCAAAAAAAAATGTCCCGTGTAATTTACCTATATAGCAGAAAATAAGTATCATATCAATAATTTTCAGGAACTTAAAAAGGAATTAAGAGAAGAAAAAACAAAAGTCCAAATGCTTAAACAAAAGCTAACAAGAGTAGAAGGACAATTAAAGATGCGCGAGGAACGTACGATGTCGGTCGAGGCAGCTTTAGAACAAGCACGAGTACAGACCAGAAACTTAGAGCGCACTATTCAACAGTTAAACGAACAGGTATCTTCTATATTTTTGATATTATTTCCTATGGGTTTTTTTCGATACTGGATACTGGGATAGTGTGGGTTTGATAGCCAGATTCTATTTTTTTATATAAAATGATAAATTCATAGGTAATTCACGCTAAGCTATTAAAATTGAATATTATAATAATTTATATGATAGTTATAATTTAACTATTATATAAATTTTATACGAGTTTTTATATTACAGAACTGCTGTTTACAGAAAGACTTTGATAGTGAATTAAGTAAGCTAAATGAATCGATGGAAAAGAACACTAAACATTTAGAAGAAATTGCGTATGCGAGAGAAGCTCTACAATCTGAGTATGATAAAAGCTATTGTGTTACGAAAATATTTTTTAAATATTTTTTACAACTATTATATATAACACAGTTAACTAAATTTTTCTATGATTGTAGGAAAGAAGCTCTTAAAGTGAAACTTGAAGAACTTTCTAATCATTATAAGGAATGTATTAATAACATAAAAAGTGAACTTCATCAAAACAAAGCAAAACTTATCGATAGCGAAAAGAAATACGAGGAAGAAGCAGAAAAAAACCTAATATTACAAAAGAGAATTCAATCTCAATGTGCACAACTAGCAGAATCAGAGTTGCATTATAAAGAAACTATGAAACAATTGAAGCAGACCGAGCTAACTCAAAGTAAGCAAAATATTTAATACAATATAATATATATATATATATATATATATATATATATATATATATAAAATAAATAGTTATTAAGACCTTATTTTAAAACAAATATATATACCTATGCGTGAAGATTAAATTTTGTACTCTTTTTTAAGCATACTGTGTGTATAGAGGCTATAGGTTATAGAGTAAGTTTATATATAGAAAGGCTGTAAAAGATTAAAAAAATTGACTTGCTTTGGCCCATGACTCCGCCCGATATATTATAATTACTCCGCTTTTCAAACGTGTTAGATAACCTATACCAAATATAGAGTGATTTATACAGCAAAGGAGTTTGTCAGCACGTGCTAATGTCTTGAGTTACGGATCCGATTTAAAAAATCTTTTTGCTACTATTAAGTATAGTCTATTTTAAAGGCTATCTACAGGCTGCATATATAATTTTGTCTTCAAAGAACTCCAATAACATTTTATAATATTATTTAAAACCATAGTGAGTTACAATGTCGGATTTAACCTTATTATCGAAATTTTGTATATAATGCTGAAAGTTTAAATTTATTTTTATTATAAATTTTTTGAAAATTGCAATGAAATAATTTATAAACGATATCAATTTTTCGAAAAATGTACCTGCTATTTAACTTCATTAATTTTTCATTTTTGTAAAATAAAAAAAGCATTTTCGATAACACGAAGAAATTTTTATTCCCACCCTCCGAATTTTGCCTCCCTAAAAAATTGCCGCCCCTAATACTTTGCCGCCCTGGGCACTAGCCCCGAGTGCCCCTAGTGTAAATCCAGGGCTGCTGAGTTATGTTAATGTAATATAATATTTTAGGTGAATTAGTAAATTATAAACATGAAGTTGAAGAAGCGAAACGAGAATTAGAAAATATTAAGCTTGAAAAAGAAAAATATTCAAGCCTATTTAAAGAACAAAATGATGCTTTACAGGAATTGAGAGTAACTTTGTTTTATTATTATTATTCATCTTATTAATTTTACATTGTTTCATTGTATTTTTAATGTTTATTTTATTATTTATAGGACAATTTGCAAAGAGAACATGAGTTAGAAGAAAAATTAAAACGTGATATCTACAACAAAGAAGCATATATCAAAAATTTGGAAAAGGAACAGATTTTATTACATCAAAAATCAGAAGAAAAGTATATCTTTTGGCTTCACTAACATTGCTACAGAAATTATAATTTTTACGTAGCTATTAATGCGAGAACAGTATTTATTGCTTATAATTATTATTATTTTATTAAAATTATTGAACCGTTATCGTTATTGCTAGTTTAAGAATTAAACCTTAAACTTTAATCAACGGTTTAAAAGAAAAGCTTATATGAGATTTTTTGGGTTATTTACTAGGGCGCAAAACTCCATCTTATAGTTTTATGATTTTTAAATTATATTGCTTACATATTGATAATATTTATTATTTTTCAGCGAACATAAAATGGAAATGTATGAAGAACAATTAATAACGCTTAAAAATCATATAACAAAGTTGAAGGAACATTTTGGCGAATTCGAAAACATAAGTGATCTTCATAGAATGGTAACTAATGAGAGCGGATAATGTTATGATTGGGTTCAAACGGCGTCGTAATTCGTAATATAACTTTTACAGTACACATTTTTTCGAGTATATTAGCGATACCTTGTATATTACAAAATAGGTCATACATCTTTTCTACTGAAAAAAAAATACATGGCGCGGCTAAATTTACCTAATGGATTATCACCGGACTTGTCAAGCAAACCGAAAGAAATTAATCTTTAACTTAAGGTGATGTAAGGCATGGTGATTGTTTATTATTAACACGAATGCAAATGTATCCTTTAACTATCCTTTGTTTCTTTTTATAATCGAATACTGTGAAAAGCATGCGTGTGCGATGTATTGTCGTGTGAACCCAGTCTACAATATCCATACTTGACACTTTATATTTTATAATCATATTTTAATTTGTAGATAAGTCAACAAAATAACCAGCTAAATGATGCAAGACGACAAAACAATGAGTTATTTGATGAAATACAGAAGAAGCAAAATGAATTGGAACATTTGAAAGAAGTAATAGTAGAAAAAGAGCACATTATGAAAGAAAAACACGATGTCTTACAAATGTTATCTGAAAAAGAAGAGGAACAAGCAATTCGTTTGAAGTTAAGTCAAGAAATTGACGAGAAAAATAATAAAATTGAAACCCTGATCTCAAACATAGAAACCAGAAATCAACAAATAGCTCAATTAGAAAAAATAATTTTAACTATTGAAGAATGTAATCGAAAATCTAGTATTCAAAGGCAAAAAGATCAAGAGAGAATTCATGCACTTGAAAATAAAGTGACTCAGTATGAACATTACATAAAAAATAAAAATACCGAAGCACCGTTCGAAAATCTTGATGAATTAATAAAAATCCTTGAAGATGAAATAGAAATTCCATTTGATTCACACGTTATAAGATATACGAATAAAAATAATATTAGGCAAGATGATAATCTCTTTGATCAAGCATATGATAATAATGAATCAATGTATCGTTCTGAAAACAAAAATATCCCAACGAAAATTGTAACAGGACATTGTGTTAAAAAAATATATTTGGCTACTAATGATGACAAGCACAAAGGTGATAATCTCGACCGTAAACAGGCCATAACCAGTATTGACACTCAAAAATGGATAACGGATTTAGATTCTCATACTGTATTCTCACCACCTTTAGCTTTTAAAGACGAATTTTCACGTGTGAACGAAATGGTTTCAAGCAATGACACTCGTCACAAAAACATGATTTATATTACGCCCAATGAAACTCGCCAAGAAAAAAAGAATAAAATGTATAAATTTGCTGGACACAAAATGCTGTAAATGTAAAATTACAAATGAAAAATTATTTTTATTTATAAAAAGTAATAATGTGTACGTCTGTAATTTGCAATACCTATTACCATATTTAACTTCATGATATACATAATATTTTCCAAATAACCTTCATAAATTCTTTATCAGTTTTTATTAGCTTTATCTTTTTATACGCTCTAAATTCTAATAGGTACCTGATCTCCAGTACAACTAAAAATGATTTTTCAACGTGCTTTCACTTCAGGTAAGAGAATTTGAGTGTCTAGAATACTTTTATAGAAAGCAAAAGGTTCCTCGATGATTTCACTTGCAAGTATAAAATAGGATATTAATTATCGTCGTATATGAGGGATTTTTGGCTACTTTTATCATCATAACTCATCTTATCATTCTCATTGAGTGGATTTACAGGCAAAAACTATGAAATAATAATATTTTTTTATAGAAAAACTGATATATTTTATGCATTCTACAAGTTTTTTTTCTTTTTTGAATGGTTATGAAATATCACTCGTTCCAAAAAATGCTTGAATCTGAAAAGAAGTAAAAATTTAAAATGAAAAAATACGTTAATTAACTGTTATGTATAGATCAAAACGACTAAAGTCTGAGTTTTTACTAAAGGCCATTGAAGAGTTCTACTCTAATATCCACCTCTCAGATCAGCTCGATGTTTATACTCGTAGTATTATTATCTGGGTTTAACATACAAAGTTTTAAATCAACATGATATTTAATAGTACGTTCCAAACATCTTCATAAATTTGATTACATGTAGAACAAAGATGAAAATGGGTAAACCTAGAAATGCTCAAAATTTCAAAAGTATCATAATATAGTTTCGTGTCCGTGTCACAACTTATTAAAGGTCGTAGGTATTCTATAAACGATTGTTTACTTAAAACGAGACTTAATACGAGTACATTTCGAAAACTGTGGAGCATAAACATTCCCTACAAATATGTTCAATATTTCATTTGATTAACCGCATTCTTGAAATAGATCTTATAAGAGTTTTAGGTCAATTGTTTTGTTAAGTTAAGGTTTGCCTTAGAAAAGAATTTATAGCAAATAATATTCCAAATACCAAACTGGGATTCTTAGAAGATTTGTGTGAGGAAGTAGTGTGCCTAGTTCGAAGAATTTCTCTCTCCAATACAGCTCTGCGTCGCTCCAGCTGAGTCCGAACTCTACTTTCTCGCTCTAGCTGCAAGCTTTGCGCTAGCACGACACTCTCTAAGCGCAACACGCGGGCGCGCTCCGCACGGAGAGCTGACCAAGTATCGGCAGCGCTGGCGCATACTGATGTTAATGATCTTGATACCTAAATTTTGTATTCCGTTTTAAATAACTATTGACAACAATCATATCTTTTATAGGGTTAAGAACTCAACGCTTCTTTTTTTATTTTTACCTTATCGTGTAACTAAACTAACTCGAGGTAGGTAACGTAAAATATTTTATTTAATAGATAATGGGTATCAGGTTCAGTGTCTTGGTACAAATATTCTTAACGCTCTTAGATCATAACATTTTTATGTTAGAAATTTCCTTTACAAATTTCTTGTAAGTTTAATGTACAACCAACCAGTAATGTACAAACCTCTGTATAAACGTTACTATCAAACGATGGTGGTTCAGCTCGCTCTTCGATATGTGCCGCAAGGTCCCGCCGCGCGCGGATGACTCGAGCGAACAAGTCCGCCGCGCGCTCGTGACGCTCCAGCATAAGAGCGCGGGAGGCCGCCGCAGACACCAGCGCTGACCGCTCGCGGGTCAGCGTCTCAACTTGCATATGCATCTCTAGTAACTACAAAGATATAAAATTATTACAAATTAGTACAAAAATCTTCAATGCAAATATTTTCTAAATATAACTCTACCTCAGTTTGAACATCTTGATATGGAAGTTCTTTTGAATAACACTCATAATTTTTTAAACGCATCACTTCTAACCGTAAGGTGGCCAGTTGATTTTCGTATTCAGTCATACTTTGCTCCCTGTAATGGTAAAAATGATGCTCTCACAATAAAGACTAACGGTCTATTGAAAATTGAGTAAATTTTAACAATATAGCGCAGATAGTTCTTCGTACATTGTTTTCTCATTCTCGCGCTGCTCTTCAATAACATGCTGCAGTTGCATAATTTTTTGTTCTCTGTTTAATAGCTCGGCGGCCATTTTGTCCTCCTTGTCTGCGCCTTCCTCTTGCTGTATAAGATATATTATAAGGTGTAATTACTTTCGCGGTTTTTGTTTCCCAATATGTACACATCGTCAACATATAGTAATATATATAATAGGAATTAAGTCGCTTACTGCAATTTTTGACAAAGAATTTAAAAAGCTATCCTTATCCGCGTGACTCCGACGCAGTTCTTCTTCTGCACGAGATAATGCAACACGCGTCACTTGTAATTCTTTCCATATTTCTGTTTCTCTATCAGATGGTTCGTTCTCTAAAATCATATAATACGTATACTAAACGTTAATTACGTATACCAACATGTAGAACTTTGATTGAAAGTTTTACACCTACTCCTTTTATTTAAATTTTTAACAAAAATATTTTACGATAATCTTTTAAAAAAGAAGCTAACCCTTAGTGGGGATAAATTCGAGACACCGCCTTCGCTCCATATCAACTAATCGTACAGAACGTTCACGTAAGGAACTCAATTGCTCTTCTAACTCTCTAATTCTTCCTTCTAGTTCTGCAACCCTTTCCTCGGTCGCTCTTTTATTCTTTTCCTATACAATGTATACTATATCAAAAAAGTTGTAATGCATTTTATTAAAAATTAATCTTAAGAATCGCTAATAAATATTAGGATATTTTACATTTAAATATTTACTTGTGCACATAAAGAGTAGGTATCTGTATAAAAATATGATTTGGATTTAGTACACATATATACTATAATATCTATACGTATAATAAAATTGTACCTAAGTCGAATCTGTACATTAAATATTTTTTGGAAAATCTTATTGAAATAGACGTTATTATCGATACAGAGGCCGGATTTATAGTTTTTAGAATTTTTGTCTGTCTGTCTATCTGTCTGTTACCGCATCACAGAAAAACCATTGAAGGGATTTTGATGAAATTTGATATGGTGATAACTGGCTATCCGGGTCATCATATAGGATACTTTTTACCGCCGAAAAATGTCTTATATCTGAGAAAAAATACAAAAACTACAATATAAGAGTATACTAATATGTAAAACCTAAGAGTTGGGTCATCTGAACGCGGGCAGAGCCGCGGGCAATGCTAGTATACTATAATATAATACATATTACATACATAATACATTTATAGTCTACGGATAAATGTCAAATGATTGAATTGGGCTATAAATGAATATAGATAATTTATAATCCCACTTTTTATCAACACGATATATACGAGATATATTTCCATAAAGTTAGAATCAAAATGTATAATTGGAAAGAAAAGTACAACATGAAAGTGAAATATGTGTCTCGTATCGCTAATACTTGATATGACTTGGCACCTGTTGTGCTACCTTCGCCTGCAGTATCTCGACGTGGGCTTTTTCTGCCGCCTCTCGTTCCTGTGCCGCTTGCTCTGCTATCTCCGCTTGCTCTCGTAATTCTTTAACTCTGAAAACAAATAGAAATTATCGGACTACTATTAGATATGCGAAAGTTTGTATATGTGTGCGTATGTTTATTACTCTGTCACGCTAACACAGCTGAACGGATTTAAATGAAATTTATTACACAGACTAACTAGACCATAATCTTAAGTAACACATAGACTTTTAAGCACCGCATTCGAAAGAAGCGAAGGTTAGTCGCTAATAATATGTTAAATCAGTGAATTATTGTTTAAATAATGTTTGTATTTATTGTTTTCTTGTATTTTTGTTGTTTTACCTAGCCTCCAATGCATCCCGCTGTCGGGACAGAGCTTCTATAGTAATTTCTCCAGTCTTTGAAACTTCTATTAACTTCTTTGAACGTGCATCATAACTTGATTCACGGTGTCGATACTGTCAAAATTGATAAAACTTTATAAAAAGGTTCTGCAAACATTTTTACTACACGTACCTTTTTTTTTTTTTTTAACGTTGGGAAATGCATTTACGCACGACGTGTGGGACTCACCGGCGTAATACAGCCAGTACTACCCACTAAAACCCAACAAAACCTTCCCCCGTCTTAATGGGGCGTCGCAGGATCGCTTACGCATTCAACTACGACGCCCCGACGGCAGGTCTGCCGAAGCAGACCACCACAACCATGGGGTTGCTCCAAAGTCCACTCTGCTATCAGAGAAGTACCAGGAGCAACCCGCATGATACCACCCCCCGAAGAGGGCCACCTCCCACTGCCCACCGAAGTGGGCAACCTCCCTGTGCGTTTCTTAGCTTCGCGCCCGGTTGGATTTCCGGGCACTACTGAGCCCCCCCACCACGACAAGGTGAACGCACGTTGGGGGGGACCGTACCTATACCTACTCTTACAATTGTCCCAAATATATTATTTTCACTTTAATATATAGAAAGCATCGGCAAAACAGAATTATTTTTTGATTACTAAAGAAATATACATATTTTATTCATTATTGTTATATTTTATGCATGCTATTTACAAGTTGCTCCAGATCGGCGTATTTCCGTCGCACACTCTCCAAATCGACCTTAGTATCTTTCAGCTGCCTCTCTAACGTAACAATACGCGCCCGCGCCACACGCAGCATGCTTTCTGCCGTTGACACCACTTCTTTTAACGACTCTCGCGCGGCCTTTTCTTTGACTAATTCATCACATACAGACTGTGGATCAAGTATCAAAATTCAGTTCAATACATTTTAATAATATTGTCAGCGCTAGATTTACAGTAGTGCCTAGGGCGGCAAATTTTCAGGGGCGTCAAAATTCGAAGGATAAAAAAAAGATCGAGTTATCGAAAATGTTTTTTTTTATTTAAAAAAAAAATGAATGTAAAAACTAGTATTTTATTCTGAAAAAATGAAAACATTTATCAAATTCAATTTATCAAAACTTTATCCATTTTATGCAAAATTTCGATAATGGGGAGCCATTTCTTACATTGCCCAGGGGCGGAGCTAAGGTTAAATCCGGCACTGAATATTGTTAAAAACATTCATGTGTTATGAAGGTATGTAGGTACCTATATTGCTTATTTTTATTTTAGAATATAATAAATACCTGATAACTAGGTGCGCTTGTTTCCTCAATTTTATGTTGAAGTAAAGCGTTTTCTTTTTGAATACGCTCCATTTTCTTTTTAGCTGTTTCCCGATCTATCCACGGTATTCTAACACAGAAGAGTCAGATATCAGTCAAAGCAGTTAAATAATATCCTATTCTTACAATTAAGCTCAGACCTTTTAAATCATACCTATCACACTTAAATATTCTGGGCGACCGAGCTTCACCTGGCGTTTTTTTTTCGGATAAGATATAAAAATTGCGTTTCTTCAAAAAAGACATGCAATATGTAACCTTATCTTAATACAAAATTTGATCCAAATCATTAGAACCGTTTCCGAGATACACAATATATGTATATATATATATATTTATAAGATATGGCAAAAATTATGAATTATAATTCTTACTTGGCTAAATCTAGAGAATAGTTAATTTTAGATTTCAAGTTTTCGGCGATCCCCGCAACCATTCTATGCAATTGCTCGGTTTCATTGTCCAGCTCTATGTTCTTTGTTTTCCACTCAGAATTCTATGAACATATTAAAATGTCATCATTACATAATATATGAATAGTACAAAAAAAGTTGTGTCAATAGTTTATAGTTATATGATTTTAGCTTTAAGTCATATAATAAATTATCTAAATTATATAATAACAGTGTGAAAAGTAGAGCGATCAGTGCGGTGCTTGCAACGTAAAAGATTTATGAGCTCGATACGGCGAGCCATTATTTCCGCACCCATACGAATTACTTCTTCTGGTATAGGATTTAGCTGCGCTTGAATCTGTTGCAAAACTTGCGGACCTGGAAATATATGCATGCGTATGTATAAATAAAATCCTTTTACACATACTTAAAATAACCATTTTAGAAGCTGCGTATACAAAATCTGTAAAGTACATCTGTACATATAATAAAATTGTAACTAAGCCGAATCTGTACATTAAATATTTTTTGCAAAATCTTATTGAAATAAACATTATTATCGATACAGAGGCCGAATCTATAGTTTTTAGAATTTTTGTCTGTCTGTCTGTCTGTCTGTCTGTCTGTTACCGCATCACATAAAAACCACTGGACAGATTTTGATGAAATTTGGTATGATAATAGCTGGTTATCCGGGTCAACATATAGGATACTTTATACAGCGGGAAAATATCTCATTTCTGAGAAAAAATACAAAAACTGCATTGTAAGAGTATACTCATATGTAAAACCTAAGAATTTGGTTTTTGGTCATCAGAACGCGGGCGGAGCTGCGGGCAATATTAGTTAATTATAATGATTATTATGATCGTGTATCTGAAAGAGAAACAAAATTTAATAAAGAATTTTGATTATTTTTTTCTAAACCGATATTGTTAAATTATAGAGGCGTAGTAGCATGATAAAAAGCTTATTGTATATGTAGTTGCTATACCGAAAATGCCGCTAATCTCAGAGCTCATTGGCATTTTAATATCGTTTCTCACGAGAAGCAGCAGGTCGTGAGCTGGCCAGCCTTTTACTGATACGACACGTATCTCTCCCAGGCATTCATCCGCTGATCCAGTTCGAGATTCCAGGTCTTTAATAGCAGCATAATATTCTAACAGCGTATTCTATTGAAAAAAAATAATTATTATTTCTATTTCATTCTTTTAATTATAGCAACAATACATAAAATTCAGACTTACTTGTTGCGCTATAACATTTTTTTTCAGCTTAATAAATTCGCGTTTTTTCGTTGCTAATGTTCGCATAGACTTTGTGAGTACACTAGGAGGCATTGCTATGTCTTTTTCTGCAATGAAAATGACATTTTAGATATATATATATATATATATATATATATATATATATATATATATATATATATATATATATTTATTATGATAGCATAATATCTTTGCACATAAAGGACTACATCATATTAAAGTAAATACTCAATATTAAATATTGACCTGGTTCTTGATAGGCATAGTGCTGACAGCACTTCGGTTTATTTAGATTGTTAGGAGCAGACGCACTCTGTTGTGTGTTTTCTAATGTTTTCTTTTGCATTTGCTGCGGCCAAAAATTACAATTTTTTAGTCTACTTATACTTAAATCGGACCACTATTATAAATTCGATAGTTTGTATTGTTGTGTGTATGTTTGATACTCTTTTACGCCGTAACAACTGAACGAATGGGCGAATTATATTAAATTGAAGTAACACATAAGCTACTATTAGGCACCGAAAGTCGCTATATGAATTAATATCTAGTTATAAAAAAAACATTTTTTTTCTTTTCAATTATTTTGTTTATGGCTTTTTAATAAAAAATTGATTTAACTATTCTTTTTTATGTTCTATACTGTAAGGGTGAACTTTTGAGGTAATTTTTAGTGGTAGGGGCAAGAATAAATACTCGTATTATTATTATACAGTACTTATATGTGTATTATTTTAGTCAAAATTATTACTTACAGTTGACGGCGATAGACTTTGACTCCTTCGATCTTTTGAAAGCGTTTTTATTTGTGAGGGGTCCTTAAAAAAATATTATTATATTATATAACTTTCCTTTCTACGAAATGCAAAAATTATATTTATTTCTTCATACTCGTTTTCTCGGAGCTAGAGGACTCGATGATAGAGCTCTCTTGTTAGAGAGAGCTCGCAATACTCGGTGGCGTGCTGTTACATTTTCATTTTCTATAAAGAAAAAAAAAACAAAATACTCTAAAAATTAATTTATGAAATATATTTATCAATTGGCAAATGCTATCTTATAATATCGGCCCTAAAATTTAAACTCTATCTTTAATATCTTAAGTAGGCATACACCGCTCAAGATATCTAAGTTTTATCTGAATAGTGGTGATAAAATCGGTCATAAATAATATCTTAACAAGCAACGTGAAACTGATCAAGGTTTCAATAATAAGTATTTCGTAAAATAGATCAGGGCTTTGTTTTTTTGGCAGGAAAGTCATTATTAAACAACGCAAAGAACTATTTTTATTCGGCCTAAAGATACTGCAGATACATATGTTCACACTTTGCTGTCACTTTGAAGTTTGAATACATAATAGTTTAGTATCATTATTGCTGCAGTAATAATCTATACATCTATATATATATCTAATACTAAGTCGAATCTGTACATTAAATATTTTTTGGAAAATCTTATTAAAATAGTCATTATAATCAATACAGAGACCGAATCTATAGTTATTAGATTTTTTGTCTGTCTGTCTATCTGTTACCGTATCACGAGAAAACCACTGAACAGATTTTGATGAAATTTGGTATGATGATAGCTTGTTATCCGGGTCAACATAATATAGGATACTTTTTACTGCGGAAAAATATCTCATCTCTGAGAAATCTATAGTAAACGTTAAAACTAGACACGAACCCGAGCGGAGCGAGGTGAATCGCTATTTCTACCGGAATTTACGTTGCTAAACATTTTTTATAAGTAGGTATAAATTTCATTGATGTCACTGTAAAAAACTGACTAATTCTTTAATAATATAATACATATGTGGATGTATTCCCGGTAGATACCGTTAAACATTTTAATAACGCTCTACGGAGGTTTATATTTAATTTAATATTAAAAATATTACAAATAAAAACTTGTTATACTAAAAGTAAAATAACAATTAAAAATAACTACCTATAAAGTATATATATATATATACATATATATGTATATCAATATATATGCTCTGTCTAAACTGTAATAGTAAATAACTATATACGTATTTTAATTATTAATATTGTATATAAAAATATTGTTTTAAACTAATCAAAGCGTATTTGTTCATAAATAAATTCTTATTGTTTCTCTCAAGCTTGATTTGTTAGTTTAAGTATATGGCAGGTTATTATTATTTATTTTGGTTTTTAATATAAAAAGTAACATGTTTTATAATAAAATGACTACCTGTAAGTGGATCGGAATCGGTAGTAGATTTTTTTTCCATTTTACTAACTTTTAACACATCAATTTAATAACTAGAAGATTTGTCAAGTTATACTTATAAATTTGACAGGAAAATCAGAGTTTCTAGACACCACCTTTCTAAAAAGTAAGTTTGTATGTACTTTTTTTGCATTCGTCTTAATTAGTGTTAAAATTAAGTGCCTAGGTAAATATTTGCTTACTATTTCTTCTAAGAAATAAATAAAATCCGTAGAATTATATTTTTTGTTAGCAGATAGGTATTTTCCATATATCATTTAATTTAATGAAACTAAAAATACCATAATTAATAGATTATACGTTTGTGTATATTTTGTAAGTAGGTATGTATATATGTATATAACAAAATTAAAATAAATATGATAGCTCTACCTATTTAATTAAAATTTGCTTAGCAAATTACTTCTTGAAAATACTATATTTCTTTATCTAAAATGCATGTTGTTTATAAGACCTCTATGGATATCATTGGTCAATTTATGAAATCACAAAAGGATTAAACTTAACACATACTTGTAGAATGTAGGTGGGTCAAGTACGTGATAGCAATTTGGATAAAACATATTCCAGATTAAAACAAGGACACTTATAAAATTTATATAATGAATAGTGGTTTAGTGGTTAGCATGTAAACCTGCAGTTCAAGAGATCCTCGGTTCGAGTATACTTATATTTTTTGGAAAATCTTATTGAAATAGTCATTATTATCGATACAGAGGCCGAATCTATAGTTTTTAGAATTTTTGTCTGTCTGTCTGTCTGTCTGTCTGTTACCGCATCACAGAAAAAACACAGGAGGGATTTTAATGAAATTTGGTATGGTGATAGCTGGTTATCCAGGTTAACATATAGGATACTTTTTACCGCGGGAAAATATCTCATTTCTGAGAAAAAATGCAAAAATTGCAATGTAAGAGTATACTAATCTGTTAAGCCTAAGAATTTAGTTTTTGGTCATCTGAACGCGGGCGGAGCCGCGGGCAATGCTAGTTTAGTAATAAAAACTTACTTACCAAAAACACCTATTCAAAGTATATAATAATTTATTGTTTACACAGCATGAATAGTTAGAGTATATGTTGATATACGTTATAAGAAGCAATTATTTATCTTAAGTAAACTACACACAATAATTGTATTAAAACAATACGATTACAGTTACAGTATCTGATCTTATCTCTGTCCTAATAATTTAATAGGTACATTACAAAACTAACATTTTATAATAAGCATTTAATGATTGTCTTTACAAATTAATTTTAGTAGGTAAAAAGTAAACATGACGATATTCAAAACTATTGATGATATGATAAATAAATAAATATAAATATGTGTGTGTGTGGGGACATTGACACACAGCGCCATCTAGTTCCATGGTAAGCTACGACGCTTGTGTTATGGATACCAGATAGTTGAAACAGTACACATATGTAACTTTAAATATATACATATTATAAATATAAACACCCATGACTGGAGTGCAAACATTCGTGCTCCATACACAAATGAATACCCCCAGCGGGACTCGAACCCGCGACCGCTGGCACAGCAAGTAGGATCACTCACTACAAACTGAGCCAAACATGTCGTCATAATATATGTATGTATCTAGTTAAAACTAAAATACATTATTTTTTTTACAAAGTCAAATTTTCTAATCGGTTATCGTAATCACCCTTTCCCTATAAATTAAAGGTTCATGACAACTCTGAAAACGGAAATAGCAGGTACAATAAATAGATACATTGATATAAACATATATTTTATTTCAGCTTTAATACATACTCGTACATACGAGTATATGAATTCAGCATTAGATAGCTCTTAATTAATATATATATTTTTTTAACTTTATTCTAACTCCTATTAGAAGTGCTATCTGTTTTGAAAGTATATTTTTAATATCATATTTAAGGCCTTTCATTGAAATTATCACGCAATACTTTTAAAGATAATTCCAAAGTACTACAAACTTTTTGGATCAAAAAGAGCCTCAGCTTACTAATATTACAATGGCTGAAATCATTTCAATGCACTAAGCAGTTAACGCATATTATTATTATGAAAAATTAGATCCAATTATACATTTTCAGTTGTCTCAATCTAAATAGATAAGAGCTTTCTTTATTTATTTCTTCAAGAGTCAATAGATTTATTTATGTTTACTACAATTTTACATGATTATTATACTAACGAGTATGTCCAATATTTATGCCAGTACTGTTTACAATACCTAATATTCTCTAGTCTCTATTTCAACAGATATTATAAGGACGTGTGTTGTCGTGCAAATTATCTAAAAAGAAAATAAATTTATCAAACTATTTAATCTACCCAATTAAAGGGTAATCATAGGAATAGCAACATTACCTACTATCAATCGAAACTTCTTCCGTTTTTGAAAATAACAAATGCAGGCTTCGAAAATGTAAAAATATACAGGGTCATTTTTAATTTACTGAAAATCTTTTAGGAATACTATTTACAACATAACAACAACACCTGTAAAAAAAAATATATCTTAAGTTTAACAAAAATAAAAGTTTTTTTATTGCAGCTTCTCAACGGTAATAGACTATTACTAGTAGTCCAGCCTTAGCAAATGAAAGTGCATGTCCGGTGGAGGGGGAGGAGTGGAGGGGTGTATGAAGCCGCGCTTACTCATTTAAACTTGGCCAGATGCTAGAACTTTAAAGTTTAGAAGGTGCAAAAAAAAATTTTTATTTTTGTATGAAAATAAAAATTTAAGAAATATAATTTTTTTTTACAGATGTTGTTATGATGTAAATAGTATATTCCCAACAGGTTTTCAGTAAATTACAAATGACCCTGCATATTACAGTACCTATTAATACTAACGAAAACATTTTTTCAATCTAATTTATTTATCTTCTCTTTGAAATATCGTAGAGAAGATATTTTAAGTAGCTGCCGCTGCGGAAATAACGACGTTCGACCGTGACCCCAAAAGCGCTTTATACTTTTTCTATGGAATAGAAGGCATGCAAATAAAGAAAGTATATTTACAATTTTTTATTCTTTAGAAAAGCCGTAGTTAATTTAAACCAGTAAATATAAAGTGGC